AAAAACATTTATAACAACATCGATAAAATGCTTGTCAGGTGCTGACATCAAGTAAAGCGCCATCGGACCGAAATTGTTATTGTTAATATATTATATAATTATATTATATGCTTGATGATCGAGGTATGGTTAAAACAAAGTTATAAACAAGTGTAATCCCGTGCAGAAAAAGTGCTAAATTTCGTTTATTAATTTATAAGAAAAACTGCCTGTTTTCTTGGCAACATTTGTGCAAAATATATGTGAATAAATACATAATTATACATGGGCGAAGTGGTAAAAGTAAAACAAATAATAAAGTGAATACTCCTATTTTTTTGTTAACATTCCTATTAAAACGACTGCTCCCCTGAATTCCTCACCAATTCTTTCTGAGACAACTCTCAAAAATCATGTTAAACCCTGTAACGCCGATTTTAAATTTGAACATGTAAATAGAAAAAACGTAATTAAAACTTCTAGGGAAATTAAAGGCTACAGAGGTTTTATTTGGAATGTCAGTCAAAGATTGTAGTTCAATAATTGACACTCTGGCGCCATATCTTGCCTTCATATTTAATGCATGTGTAGATGAAAGAATTTTCCCTGACTTAATGAAATACAGTAAAGTAATACCATTATTTAAGACAGGTTAAGTAATACCATTATTTAAGATAAAGGCGATCCCAGTAAATTTAGACCTGTGTCTATTTTACCTGTATTAAGTAAAGTTTTTGAAAAAATTATACTGAATCAACTTCAATTACATTTCAATAAAAATTATCTTTTACATAATTAGCAGTTCGGCTTCACCAAAGGGCGCTCTACTACTGACGCCCGTGTTACGCTTGTAAAGCATATTTTTAGTGCATAGGAAGATTCTTATGACGCTATAGGGGTTTTTGTGATGTTTCAAAGGCGTTCGACTGTGTACAACACGAAACCTTATTGCTTAAACTAAATCATTATGGTGTCAAAAATAGTGCACTTAAACTTCTCAAGTCATATTTAGAACGGAGAATTCAGAAGATACATGTAAATCGTTCATATTCACAGGGCTTAAAATAGGTGTGCCACAAAGATCTATTTTGGGGCCTTTCCTATTTTTAGTTTATATAAATGACTTACCACATGTGGTGCAGGGTCTGTCAAACAGAGTATTATTTGCAGAGGATACTTCTCTTATTTTTAAAACTTTTAGAAAGACTAGTAATTACGATGACATAAATAACACTTCAACTAATTCACAATTGGTTCACTGTTAATAACCTAGTACTGAATGCTAAAAAGACAAAATGTATTAAATTTACTTTGCCAAACGTGAAAAGTAATGGAAGATAAGGAATTGAATTGAATAATGAACGGCTTGATTTGGTTGACAGTACAGTATTCTGAGCAAGAACTATTGATGCAAAACTCCAATGGGGTCCTCATATATCTTCTCTGTCAAGTCTTAGCTCGGCTGCATATACGACGAAGCAACAGCCAGATTAATTTATTTGAGCTACTTTCATAGCATTATGTATTATGGTATCCTGCTATGGGGCCGAGCGGCTGATATTGAATCCATCTTCATTTTGCAGAAAATATTTAAGAGGATCCAGATTTTCACGGTTCCATGTCAATATATTTTTGCAAATATTATGTATGTTAGGAAAAATATCGATGAAGCTAAGGTTAGGACTTTATTCGTGGGGCTCTGTGTTCGCTACTACACCAAAATTCCAAATACAACAAATTTATTGTAAAGCAGACACTGTTTAAAAAATCTTATTATAAGTTAGATGATTATTTAAATGACAAAGAGGCTTGGTGTTCCGACACTCCAGCACGGCATTAGAGACATATATTATAAGACAAATTATAAAACGTCGAAAATTGGTTTGAAAAAATCTTACTTTTTTCGTTTTTGTTCCTTTGTAATGACTATTTACACCTTTTAGACTATATATTTTATCTCATATGAACCGCATTCTCAGCTTTTATCGCGACAGTCTTCCGCGTTGGGCAGTCGTGAAGAATTAAATGCCGATTTTCCATTTAGAATGAAATTGGAATTTGTTGCAGAAATTTTAATTCTTTCTCTGAAACGTCGTCACGGATTCCATATAGGTAAATAGATGCATGGTGCAAGCTAATATTAAACCGGATTAAGATTTCGATTGAGGCTTTATAGAGACATTTAAAAAATCGATTATCTTAAGTGACTGCAATACTGTCGGCCATCTTACACGGCCTGATTTGAGCGAAATCATTCATATATTCGTATCTATAATCACACGTAACAATTGTATTGGCACATTTACCGACGTATTCAGTCTAATTGATGTGTTTATCACGCCTGTCGATATAAATCTCTATTTGAAGTTTTTAAGACGCCAGCGTTCACAATAAATTTTGTGCGTTTTAGTTACTCAAGACAAACAAGTACTTTGCTGTGGCGCATTTTCTATGCAATCTTCATGTCGAAGTAACAATGGTATTTCATTATGCTTTATTTTTAAACATTGTGTAATAAATTTTGCTACCTTAAGAAAATTAAAGAAAGCTGAAGCCCTTGAAAATAACACGATTTTCGATAGGTGTTTCCATCTAAATATTTTAAGTCTAATTTTAAGAACAAAATTGACGACGCATATTACAAAGTTGGTACAGAGCGGGGCAGAGTATGCATGGCACGTGCCTAACTTTATTTCTCGTTATAAGCTGCTTTTTGTACAATTGCATTTAAGCTTACGAGCCATGTCAATTTTAAAACTGTAATGTATTTGATTGTGAGATGAGATCGATCGATACAATTTTATCCCACTGTGTCGAGGTTTAGCTCCGAAAGGGGATTTCCCCGTTTTAAGCCGACGGCATTGCCCGGAGCAACCGAAGGGTCTGTTAACATCAATGACATTATCCCTTTGAAGTGTATGTAGATTAAAAATCTTTGATGATAACATTCCATTGATGTTCTTATCCCTTAACATATGTATGTAAACTGCTTGTTACGGATTTGGTTTGTCCATTTTATACGTTTTCTTTAGAATGCATTTATTAAGTAATCCATTTTCTAAAGACACCTATGTATTTCAATATTTATCTTGTGAAATGTTATTTTTTTATTAGAGTTTAATATCAAATGAACGTACTTTAATAAAGATAACAGGATTCCGCGAGATTTCGTTTGAATCTCATTATAATTAGTTAACTGCCGACAGGAGCTTTGCTGATACTAAATCAGATATTGCATTTCGAACTTTAGTGATGTTTGAAGAAGCGAGCCTTAAAATATCTCTGTCTGTTCATAGTATGAACTCGTTTCTTGTTTATTCAATGTCCGGAAAATTGTTGGAATTTTTTTAGTTTTATTCTCTAAACTCAAGATGGAATTTAAAATGTGCATAATAGTAATTGTCAGAAAATTTTTCGCCACTGTTAGGATTCCTTTCGCGGTCGACGTCATCATCGCGAGAAAATAACGACGTCTTATCTGCTGGTTTATGATTGATTCATTTTCAGTAACGCTTTTTTTTATTTACTCAAATGTAATTTTATGTATGATTGATTGTATCTTATACTTTAAACGAGCAATTCTTGTATATATATATATATATATATATATAATTGGAATCTCGGAAACGGCTCCAGCGATTTTCATGAAATTTAGTATGTGCATAGATTCGGGGGCGAAAAATCGATCTGAATAGGTTTCATTTTTAGAAAATGTCGGTTCCAGTTTTCAGGGAATGAAAAATATTATTAGAATACGACGGTAAATTTCACCAAAAAAAATGTTATAATAGCTCGGTCGGTAATCGGGCGGCCGCTAACAAACAGGAACGAAACAGAAGGCCGTGGTTCGTATCACGATCATTTACACACTTATTTTTTTATCGATTCCAGATCATTGCTTTCTTTATCTTTTATATTTTGTCGATTTGTTATTTTGTTATTTTTTTCCCTTTTTTTTAAAGTTCTTTCTTTTGTGAAAAACACCAGTTCATATTTTCTTATTATTACGTCGGTAAGATCGAAACATATTATGCATATTTCATTACTTAGTAATTTGTATCTAATGTAATTTCCAAAATACACGATTTACCAAAAAAAAAAAAAACAAACCGAGTAAAGCTCGGTCCTCCAGGTACTATAATATTTATTGTTCTAATAGATTCCATTTGGACGGAGATCGCTACGTCAACCACAGTAGGTAGTTAGATAACGTTAATGTCAATCACTTTGATCGCTGTGGTAAATCGCCGTTATTGGAATTGAACATTAAATTTTGATTTAATCCTAAATTACGGATTTCTCAATAGGAGTATACCTATATTATTATAGTAAAGGTTAGCAGGAGTGTTTTATTAAAGACTCATTAAAGATTTTAGTATATTAGAGTTCGTCGGATTAAATTTTTAATTCAAAAGCTTTTTTATTTTAAATGAAAACTGGCCAGCACTTGACCATCGCAACTGATGGTGCAGCCTTTAATTAAGACTTAATAATGTTAGGTAAGTTTGGAATATTAAACAAGGGATAAAATTATTTCTGTCTCATAAAAAACCATGACTGGAATAATAAAAATGTTTATTATGTCCGAAGTAATTAAAATGTCAACTTACATAGCTAGCATAGCCAAGACTATGAAAAGTTTTTAGTATTATTAGGCACTACTTTGATGACTCAGTGGCGCAGTTGCCAAAGTATTTGGCTTCGGTGTCGGGGGCCATGGATTCGATTCCCACACGGGACAACTATTTGTGCGACCCACAGATAGTTGTTTCGTATCTGGGTGTTTGTCCACGTGGAATTTATGTTTGTAAAAACGTCCTTACAACACGGGATAATGTTATCCTAAAGTGAGGGCAATGTTTTAAAACAATAAAAAAAAAACTAATTAGCATGCTTTTGTTACATAGATACCGCCCTAACGGGTATAACTACCAATCAGGCCGTCATTTCGTCGAATTTTCATTATTGGTTTCGGAACTGAGTATTTTGGCGATATTTTAATTATACGTTTTTCTTTGCAGTGTTTGGCGACTCTATCAATTCGGAGCAACAATTCAGCTCGAATTTCGCTCACGCCCTCCTCGGCCATCTAAAGGGATTTATAATTACAACCACATACAAGGGTATTGTGGTAGTGGTCTCCCAAAACGTTCAACAGTACCTGGGATACACAGAGGTAAATTACGCATTCTGTGGCAACGCTTTGCTTGAGAGTTGACCGTTGCTCCGTTGGCCGGTTAAGATATGGGTGTCTCGAGTTGACCGGCTAGCGTGCAGTCTGTAAATACATCTCGATTTTGTGTGCCTATGACAAAGTTGCAGCAATAACAGGAACCACTATGGACTCACTCTAACATCGATGATCGCCGAATTTAAGTGATAAACCTTAAGAAGTAAATAACTAGTAAGTTTTTATCGAACGTTGTATGTCTTACCCGTGTACGTCACAGAGTTTCGTATATAAGTAAAACAAAAGCACGTTACATTAATTCTGGTATCAAATATTAAGGTAATGCTCATCATCATCATCATCATTTCAGCCTGTTTGAGTCCACTGCTGAACATAGGCCTCCCCCACAGACTGCCATGAAGTACGATCCTGAGCCACCTGCATCCATCGACTTCCCGCACATGCTTAATGCTTAGCAATAAAAAAAAATCTTGAGCTGCCTTTTAACGAAACCGTTTCAATGACCACCGAACAAAATTTAATTAAGTACGTTTCGTGCAGTTATAAGCCGCCCATCGTTAAATGTTGGTTGGTTGGCTAATAATTACGGTCGCATTTGTACGGTATTTAATATCTCGTTTGGTTGAATGTCAAATTTCATAGGATGTTCCATTTTTAATTTGTGATTTGTTTACCTTGACCATTTTACCGCTCCTTTACAAAAAAGTAACGGTATATTTTTCACCTGTAATACGAATATCTGTAACAATGAAAGAGAAAAATGAAACGTAAATTTCTGGATTTACTTCTATGCTCAGTACCACAATAATTAGCGATGATCTAGTAAAGTTGGGTATCTTCAGTAAATTTACCTTGTCTGCGGATTAGGCATAGTGAATTGAGCCATTCCATTACTAATTTATTGTCCATTTAAATAGATTATATAAACATTTCTTCTTACGATACAATACACAACAATCTTTATTATTTAGAGAGATTAAATTTTATAACTACATATATATTTGTCTACATACATAAGTGCCTGCGAAAGTAAAATCAGTTTATATAGTAAACTGTGTAACTTCGTTGTGTGTTTTAGTTGTGATTGCACGCATTATTCTTCCTAAAACAAATACCTAATAACAATATTCAAATGAAAGTTAAGTAACCTCAAAAATTTAATTATTAAAAATGAAATTAAACGTATCAATTCCTATCTTGTAAACTAGTTCTAGTTGTTTATTTATTCCTTCACTTATCTGTATTTATTTCTATGTTTACCATCGACGATCAACTATAAACAAATCGCATCGAAGACCACAATAAATGCTTCGTTCTACAAAAGAATCACAAAATGGAAGTAGGTCACGGTGTATGAATCCAGGCCAGGTCAATACAGCTGGGAAACCGCGAGCCGCTGATCGATCTCGTATTTAATATGAGTTATTATTTATATTCTTAAATGTAATTTTTCAAATCCCTGTATTACATCATGAGAGACATAGTGATTGTCGTCTTCTTGCACTTAACGTAACGAGTGTTGAGAGTATCACCTTGCACCGGGAACATATTTGTGATAATATTTGTACAACCCTGAAGTTCGAAACTTGTCCACACCGTACGACGATATCCCAGGACAATAAACGACTGCTATCCTTAAAGCTTTAAGATTATTTTCTGAATTAAATCATCATCTTATTTATTACATTACCTCACTCGTTTTTAATTTATGACATTTATATAGTTTTCCGAGCAAGCTAGCAACTCTAGTACATTACGCCAATCTCAATTAATACACAGTACTTTGCTCGGTTTTTTTTTTTGGTAAATCGTGAAGAAAAATAAAGAAAGCAATGATATGCTATAGCAAAAAAGTTAAAAAAATAAGTGTGTAAATGATCGGCCTTCTGTTTCGGGGCCAGCCGATTACCGACTGAGCTATGGTAATGTTTTTTTTCGGCGAAATTTACCGTCATATTCGAATATATATTATATATATATATATACAAGAATTGCTCGTTAGTTATTAGAAACCAATTGTCCTTTGCTTTGTCGCTCAAGTATTTTTGGGAAACGGATAAAGCGCTTGTTACTCGATAGTTATTGATAGAGAGATCGAGTAAATATTGAATTTTGTTGCCTTGTGACATTTCCGCACTAACAGAAACCGTTTTCCATTTGGAGATGGCTTTATAGATAAGAGAATTAAATCAACCTAGAACGGATCTCATGTATAATCAAATCAATCCAATGCCCAATCTTGTTCTCTCCTCAAATATTGATTATCACAGTTATCAATTTGCGTGATCACTAACAAACGTTTAATAAAGTTACACAAATTTTTAATAAAGTTTCATAACGGAAAGGTTTTTGACGAAAACTGCAATTTACCATAATTCTTCATATATTCCATATTTGATAGCCGTGACAGCTGAGTGTCCTTAATTTTCCTCAGTGAACATTATTTCGAATATATGTGAATTCCGCCAATCCGCAGTGGGGCCGCGGGGTGGACTATGCCCTGATACCCTCTGTACAGGGGAGGCCTTTGCCCGGCACAAAAAGTATTATTTAAATTAGCTTCAATTTATACCATGTTTTTTTATGTTAGTCCTTAATCCCCACTAATTTGATATGAGGACGATGTTACCTGCTTTATTCATTAACTGGCCACGCAACGTGCAATCCCCATCAGTTTATTGGGTATTTCATTTTACGTAAATGAAACATATTACACTATTATTTTTCGCCCGGTGGTTCAAGCTGTAGTGGTCAGTAAATTCGCCCTCGTTTGTAACAAAGCTTGGTGCCTTTAGAGTCGGACCGTCGACCGGAAAATGTTAAACATAGCTTAAACAACCCTATCGATTTCAATTTTCCCCTTTAGAAAGGATGGATTGTATTTAATTAAAACAGATATCACTCACTGAATGCACTGGCGCGAACGAAATGTAATATTTGCCGACGGCCATTATTTGCTCTGAGTATTCGGACTAGCTTTATTAATTTCCCGCTCTATGACTTCTTCGAGGTAAATTAATTTTGAGCCCTGAATTCCATTATCAGTAACGAAGCCATTGGATACAATTTTGCTTATTGAATATTAAGCAAAATTGTATGCAGCATCCTCCTATTGAGGAGGAGACGGTGGAAACTCTGAAAGGTATGACTTTGGCGGACCATCTTAAAAATGCAAAATGTTGTGTGCATATCGGCCACGGGGGAGAATCGGACAACATATATTTTTCATCCCCCTAAATATTAAGGGTGGTCCACCCTTAAATATTTTTTTGTTTTTTTTTTACATAAAATGTTTTGTTACATGTTTGATACAGCATACAAAAATACATACAACCCTAAATTTTCACCCTTCTACGCAGACGTAGTCGCGGGCTGCAGCTAGTTATGTATAAATTTCTTCCGTACGGGTGTATATCTCTAATAGACATATAATTTATTAAATAATTATCTTATAACGTAACAAATACCTACATTTGTAATGAAATGTATAAATGTATTTATCATACTGGAAAACTACAAATAAACTACAACTGACGGACACTAAAACTAAAACTAAGGGCTACGAGTAGGATAGATATTATTTCGTGCGGCAAAAATAAATCTTAATAAATGTTTTTATTTCCAGCTGGAACTTATCGGTCAAAGCATATTCGGGATCACACATGAAGACGACCGGAAAATGCTCAAAGAGCAGCTGATGCCCAAAGACAACTTCATTGGCCCTAACGGCGAACTCCTCATTCCTGATGGGCCTGGTGGCGAGGAGAAGGTGGCGGAGGCGTTAGGTAGAGAACAGAGAAGATTTGTTGTCAGGTACAGACAACTGCTTTTTTTTATAGTTCCTTAAAATACTATCGATTTTTGTGTGAAAAATTGTTAAGTTATTACCGCGTTTTAAAATTTTCATTTCACCGTTTATAAATTGTATTGTCCAAGAATTTCTGACATAGAAACGAGATACTTATGTCAAAATGTATAGTTAGAATGGCCAATATGCATAAGCAACGACATCATACTCTGTCGCTTGCTTTGTTAAACCCATCAGAGCGCTTGCCATACTGCAATTTCTGTCCATTCCCCATCACGGTGAACGGCGGTAAATTTTATTAAATTATGAGCCCCGCTGGCGAAGGTTTCTCGGCATCTTCGATTAAATCATGCGCTATTTGCGAACGAATCTTCTTTTGTTGCGAATTATATATTTGCATGTCCAGTTTTCAACATACATTCATTGCTTGCGATACAGTTTGCTATTTAATGTTTTCAATAAATTAATGGACTAAATTTAATAATGGCTATAGCAATCGCGATTGCTATTTATTGAAAGCATTTGCTCTGCGATCTTATTATGATTATGATTATAAGAACTGTAGTAGCATATTGATGATGTTAATGTGACTCGATATCTATGTATACAGGGAGGCTTTTATAAGTGTATCGATTTTTTTAATTAAATTCTAGACATAACTAATGTTATCGTATTTATGAATGACTACCGCAGTGTCAACAAGTTCTGATTTTTAGGGAATAGAATGTCAATTTTTTTGAAGAAAAAAGTTTGTTTTTATTTCAATAAACGGTTATGCTACCGAGTCTGAACCTCCTGTGTGAATTTGGGCACCTTTAGAAAAGCCACCCTGTATATCAACTGTAAGTATACAGCACTAAGTTTTGTTAGAGAGACTATAAAAATGGCAACGTAGTGATATGCTGACCTAATAAGTTTCATATTATGTTTTTCACTTTGAAAATTTTCTCCGCTAGATTCAAAAAACTCGGGCAGCGCACAGAACCTAGTCAGTACGTGACGTGTCATGTGCAAGGCACTCTGAGGAAATCGGACAAGGCCTGTCGGAACAGTAGCCGGTGTTGCCAAATGGTGAGGCGAGTCAGGGCAAGGGGTGATAACCCCTGCTCTAGCGGAAATGATGTGGTGAGTGACACACGCCTCAGTGGAGGTGCACCGTGAAAAGTTAATCTGGCTAGACGTTAACGCCGCTTAATTAAAAGATTCCAACAGGGGAGGCGATTTCAACAAGCTTTCATCTAAAGTTTAGTCTTCTTACAAATAATTTTCTTTGACTACCTGACAGCTTCTTGACGTTGAGTATACGAACTTTTACTTTGCAACAAAGTAGTTTATGAACGAGGACGTTTTGATATTCATCTGCTTAATTAAAAGTTAAATAAACACACGAAATATGTATAAATACCCTTCAAGGGACAGCTAATTATGTAAACACCTTTTTATATTATATTATATACTGTTATCACTTTTTTCTCGAATACTTTATGGTTTTTATATCGATATTATTATGTCTCGTGGGTAAAGAATACACAGTCGGAACGTCCATTTCCGAGTGAGTCTTGCGAGAGCCTTTTAAGGAAGTTTCACTATAATATCTATATATTATTTCTTAATGTTAATTTAGTTATGCTAGTGTTTATCGTCAGAATAGATAACTTCCAGATTTCTCCATCAAATTTAATACCGTTTCAAAGCTTTATTGTACAGCTGTTAACAAAAAATTACCAAGTAAAATAGTTAATGTTTTCATAAAAAAAAACTTTTGTTTAAAACCTTCTTCTAATGCATAATACGTGTATGATAATGCTATGGAAAATTTCTGCGAGAAAGAAAACAAAAATCTCCAACATTAGAATTCTTTCACCCGACATGTTCACGTTACTTTTTAACTATACCTAAATAATGCGAAGGTATTAACGGATAAACGAATTAGTTTCTATGTTCGCGGTCTTGTATTACAACATAAACACGGTACTGAGATTGTTTACTCTTAAAATATCTTCTTTATCAATGGCATTTAGCAGGCAAGTTGGATGGCATCTGTTCCAGACACATTACTCTGTATTGATCGATGTGGGCGAATCTCTCAAAGCCGGGATTACCGGCACCGAAGTGCACGTTTTGCCTAAATTGGCGGAGGGGCTTCTAACTAGGGGAGGATGAGCGAGTACAGACTAAAAAAATATTTGGCGTAATGAGGTGTCATCTTTCTGAAAAACATAATTACATTAATTTAAATCAGAAAGATCGCTACAACTAGGAATTTTTACTAGGAACGCAAGACCTAGAAGAGACTTAACAACCATTTTTTTAATACTTCGCGGTGTTACAAAAATACTAAGTACAAAAAGTGTGGCTATCGGGATTCATTATATTTCTTTACATAGTATAAAACAAAGTCTCCCTCGATGTTTGTTCGCTTAGATCTTTTAAACTACGCATCGGTTTTCAATACAGTTTTTTAAATCAGAGTGATTCAAGAAAAAGGTTTAAATGCCGAGAAATTTAAACATTTGTAGTAACAAATATATTTTTGTGCGCTAACATTGCAAACGCTATCTAATCATTACGAGTAAGATCAAATTAATGAACTATGTAATTGTAAAGTCTCAAAAAATATCGATAAAAAAGTCCGCGAAGTTATATGTTTATCTCCTAACGATAACCCACAGTAACCATTTTTATCTTTTACATATTACAAAAAAAATATTTGTTAACCAAGTAATTTAAAATACGATATTATTCGCTATCCAATTAAATACATTACATACGTTGTGCATTGCAAGTAGATCAAAATTGGCCGTTACAGTATATCATTAAAATTAATATCTTAGATGATATTAAAGATTTAAAAAGCGGGGGTGGGCCGTACGTCGTCGATCCAGCTAGCAGCGACCGGCGGGCTCACGCTTTAGAGCGTAACCTCTAAAGAAACCATATTTGCACTGTCTCATGAAAAAACCATCATAGTTTTTTCATATCATATTATTGTCAATCACTCCACACTGCCCCACATTAGTATTTAGATTGCACCCGTGCGAAGCCGGGGCGAGTCGCTAGTGGCGTTATAAAATATTTTAATTCTTTTATCACCCACAATTAAAGCTGTTCTATCAGAATGTACTCAATTTTTTAATAATTTCTGACCGTCCGTCTTACTTTACCGAAAATAGAATTCATTGGATTAAAACGTTCTCATGTCTGGAATAGGAGGTAATAAGATTAGAAATTGTCGGGCAAAATCGTAATAGGATTAGTTTGCGAGAAGGTTTGACTGTTAATGTCAGATATTGGGGACTAGTCGCTTAAACCTCACATTATATGTGTAATAGTATAGGGAAGTGGTCGCATGTTCATGAGAAAGCGCACAATTCAATTTTGGAAAGAAAATTCAACTTTTTCTGTTGAATTTTTAATTATTTGAAATATGATTCGAATAGTACAAAGTAACTTTTGAATGTATTGAATGATACATTGATAAAGATACACAATTTTCCTTGGTGATTTTTATCTGACTCGATGGCGCAGTTCCTAAGCCATTGGCTTCGGCGCCGGAGTTCGTGGGTTCGATTCCCACGCGAGACAAGAGTTGATGGTCGGTCGTAAGAAAACATAGCCATCAACAACATGATACGCATGTTGTGCCAAAATCAACTAGGTGGGATAAGGGCATGAGAAAGGAAGTTATTTCTATCTGTTCTAATATTGAATATCCGATATTAGTTGTCCTTTGATAATCTTCAGTCAAATTACCTTACCTTTGAGAGAATATATAAAAAATAAGTCTTTGAACGCCTGTCTTAGATTCCGAAATATAATACGTGCACGATGTCTCACCTTAGCCAGTAAGTCATCCTCATTAAAGAAGTTAGATTGTTAGAAACTTAGAGCGGTTGTGAGCACAAGTTGGAAAATTTTGATATGCGGCTAGTGTAACGATCTACACTCCACATTTCTGATACAGTTTCTATATTGTTATAATATAAATTGCCAATACCAACATCGAAGAGCATACTTGTGCTAAGATCGTCATATCGTCATATCTCCAAAGCACGTATTCGTGGAACACACGAGCATGTAGGGAAATTCAATAACATTAGACGAGGCAGTGACGTGAATCTGGAGTGCGTTCGTGTTGGGCAATTAGCAACGTGACTTTGCAGGTGTTTATTGGTCTGGTGCGGCCGACCAGCGAGACGTTTGCGAACGAGAGCAGGCTGGAATCCTTCCGGATGGAGTATCGCACCCGCCACTCCATAGACGGCGGGATAATCGAGTGCGAGTCACGCATCGCTCTCGTGACCGGCTACATGACCCACGAGGTGAACGGTTTGAACGCGATGAACTTTATGCACCGAGACGACGTCCGCTGGGTCATAATCGCGCTCCGAGAGAGTGAGTCTTCTTTTATTCCGTTCTTTTCTCCTTTCAACTACAGCTCTATTGTGTTTGCTACATTTTATTTAATGGAGAAAACAATTGCACGACCGCGATTGAAATTATCAGAGTGCCCTTGGCTTTGTTGTGTCTGACGGATTATACTATCGCCCATATAAGGACTATGATGAGAAATAATACTCAGTTGTAAAGCTCCATCGGTCGCAGGAGCCGCGAACGTTCCACAGCAGTTCCAACCAGGTTCCAACCTCGATAAATAGCAATTATTTATTTATACTCTTTCAGTTTAATATTTTCTATTTTCAAATAGTTGATAGTGAAGTAAAAGTATTTTTAACCATAGTATGTCAATGCAATATTAAAATACTTTAAATGTACGAACAATTAGTTCAAATAAATATATGAATATACTTCCTGGATATAAGTCATATATTTATAATTTTCAAATTTTATAGTGATTTTTCGATTATCCGAATTAATTGATAATTATTGATTTTGTGCAAAATTATATTTGACAATTATAAAATATTTGACAATGTATCTATTCTTGAAATAGCCAGGCATTGCTTTTCTAATAGTAAATCGATCGATGCTTTGAATAGTGTGTTGTTGAGTGACAAGTTGACGAGAAATTTGAATAAATTAATAGTGCCAAGCCACCTTAATTTCATAAAACCGTCGGAGTCTTTGGCATTCAAGGCTTTATCGCAAGCAGGGGTTGTTTGTTCACGAAGCTGTGAGATTATGTGTTCTTTAATCAGAATGACAACGGAATCCAGTTCACTGGCTCGGCAAATATGCGCGCTCATTCGTTAGTGAATAAATACGAGTCGGGTCGCAATTTCGCAAATTAACACGTCCTATTGTGTGCCAAGCCCGCTCTTCTAGAGATAATCGCTGCGAGACCGCTAATTGGTTGTTAGTGTGAAGTTCATGAGGACAATCGTCCGCAACTTGTTTTAATGTTCTCTTGCTGTTGACCTTCTACAGCCATTTCCCCTAATCAGCTTCTACCCGGGGGTACTTTCTGCGCACTCTACTGGAACTATGCGAGCCGTAACTTGTGTCGCTTGATAAAAAAAATTCATATACACTATTACTTATTTTTAATATTTTCTTTAACCAGCTAATTCGCGTTCCTCAAGGATCCTGCCTCTGCCTTTTACTTTTTACGCTTTATACGAGCGATATACCAACAGACCCGCGAGTCAGTCTCTTGATTTACGCGGATAACATGGCTCTTTCACACAGATAAAAATCTTAGCCAACTTACTACTTGCCTCCCAAGCGACACTGACCTCGGTGATTGGTTCCGTAAATGGAGAATTAATTTAAATCCAGAAAAGAGTGTGGCAATTCACTTCACACGTACTGCGAACCCCCATGCGCCACACCGTTATAAAGGTCCTCGCCAGTTCAGAAACCTGGGGCAAACATCCCTCTATGGCCAACAGGTCCCCTGGGCCTTAAGTCACAAATTATTATTAATAAGGCCTGCGTAGGGCTGATAATGTCCTACGTATGCATGACTTTCGCCCACACAAACCTTTTCGCTTGAACAAGTTGCAAATAGTTCAAAACAAGTTAATACGCCAATCAACTGGTTCGCAGTGGTATTTACGCAACGATGATCTGTACAGTGACTGCAGACTCCCGACTATTCGCAAACATTTTAAAGATCTCACCAAACGGTTATTTTTGATTCTTTGATAGAGCCGAACATCATCATAACCCTAAGCTAAGCGCAGCGAATTACCAACCCGGCATAAACGCGAACGTTAATAAGCGTCGTCCGTGCAATGGCCTCATCGGCAGGAAGATGGCACAAGTCCCCCAGATAACCCTACATATACGGAGTTAGTGTAAGCACAAGCACCATAGTTTGTCCTCGCCTTCGAGCACGGTGAAAACAACAACTAAGGCCCATGGGTTCTGCTTTCTATGAAGCTTTAACAATATAATGACCGAAACCGCTAACTCCAGTTAAAACATAAAAAAAAATGCATACCGACAAAAAGTAGGTAAATGTTGTGATTTTTGCACCGTAGGATTTCTGCAGCTTACCACAGTTTGCCAGAGCGTCTGGGCGCGATTTCCTGAACATGCAGGTTCGAATTCTGAATAAGACGTTAGATAGGGGAATATTCTAGTCTGTTCTATGATTGGCTGCATTGGCAAAAAAAACGAGAACCACTCATCATGTTGCGTGAATTTGGTACAAAATGCAGTTTAAGTATCATTTCATGTCACTCTTTGCATGTTGTACATATTTAACTCCTTATCATTAAATATCATCTATTGATTTTTAAAAATAGTGCCAGCACTTACGGAACGCCGGTATTCGATAAGCTTATTTTTGCACCCGAGGTAAAACGGTCGCAGAATAATTCGATAAAAACGTTTTCATTTCGAATTGGTGCAGTTATACATTATCATCGTCAATATGTTTACAGTTAGCAGTACGATACAATAAATTTAAACATATCTGAGTCGTAATAAGGTGTAAAATGCGACTGCAGATCGGAACGAGTTGCCTCGACCGACGTCCATATCGCGATATGTAACGATATACCCATACATCAAAGCTCTGCTGATACTGCCACTTGTTTACCACCAATCCAATAATCAGACAGGCGTCTTAATTGTTATTACTTTATTTAATTACCATCTAATTTTTCACTACTACACGTGATTGTTATTGCGTTTATTAAGTTTAAACAATTTTTAAATGATGTTAATTCTTGAAATGTTAATCTTTGCACTTAAAATGAAATTTAATAACATTAAAAACAAGTGGTCGGAAAGGTTATGCCGCTGCTAGGATTCGAACCTGCATCATCCGGGATACGCGCTCGACGCTCTAGCCACTGAGCTAAACGACTCATCTTCAAACCGACGAACATCTCAACGTATTAACCTTTATTAAATTTCATTTTCAGCAATAAAAACAACCTTGGAATATTTTTAGGCGAATCGCGTATTTCGATTGCAGGCGATCTGGACACGACAGGCTTTCTTTTTCCAAAACTGTTCGTATTCCAAAAACATCAATGATATTATATAAAAATACGAAGTAGATATGATACTAGCGCACTGAAACCGAGGCACTCAAATTATGGTGTAATTGCAATAAAAGATTGCGATTCAATATACAACTATCTCTTCCCGTATCAAACGTTCTATATCATCTGTCACATTCACTTATGTAATACATAATATATTGTAGACGTATTATGTTTTATAACGTAAAGCGGAAACATTTTTAAATTCGCATTATGGACATGAGTCATCTTTATTAAAACACCATTGGAAAACATCGCTCGACCGCTGCGGGGGACAGTCAACATGCGCCCCGTGTCATTTAAGGCTTAAAGGTGTCGGTTTTTAGTGAGAAAGCTATGCAACAACACTATGTATTATTTGACCAGTTCCATTCTAATTTATAATCCGATGATCCATTGTCGATATAAAGCTGCGTCTGTAGTCCAATAACTTACGAAATACCTCTTTCCATTAAAATATTAAATGGGTGAGCAATTTGAATTCTGTGATCGGCAAGATGTTTTATTTAGTGAGGCTGGCAAGAGCATGCCATATCGTTGAACGCATTCACCGAATACTCGTTAAATTTTCGATTCAATAGATCACGACGATAATTTACGAGAAGTACGATTTAATTAAAATTTAATAATACATTTTTCTTATGCCCTCATCTTCAAAAAATAACACACTTAACAAATATCCGTGTAATTTGTCACATACAATTATTTAAAATTATGCAGAGCACAGAAGCTACGTTAATGATTATTCATCATACGTTGATAATGCTCGACACACAAATTACTCGTATTCAATATTTATTTTTACTGATTATTATTTTGTACTCACAAATTATCCTCCCTCGCAACTTTATGCACTGTTAATGTTACGGCTTAACGATGAAAGACATGTTGTTATCGGAGTATTATTTGAGAGTATTTATTTGGGACAATAGAAAACCACCCTCGTATACTTAATATGGGATAGGGAGTATTGAGAATATAAGGTTATTTGGATGTTGAACATATGTATGAACCGAACGTTTCACAGATAATTGAACACAATGAAAATTAACTTCTGATTATCGGGGAAATATTCTTTTCAAAAATATATACATGCCGTCCGGGTTAGTAGGGGCAGGTCCGTCCGGGTTAGTACCACGACCTCACAGAAGACCGGCGTAAAGTAGAAGTGTTGCACTTCTGCGTTTCGTCTGGTGAGTGAGGTAGCCGGGGCGAACATTATTAACAGGTGACGACGGTGAATGGCGTTGTGGGAAGTGTACCTGCCTCTTGCTCTTGAGGGTGTGGGATCGATCCCCACTGCTGGAAAAATATTGTGTGATGAACATAGTATTTTTCTAGTGTCTGGGTGTCTATATGTATGTATAATATGTATTTATTATTACATTATTACATATTATTACAAAAGAAAAGTATGTTTAAGTATGTTTATCAGTTATCTAGTACCCATAGTACAAGCGCTGCTTAGTTTGGGACTAGAGAACGCTGTGTAAAACTGTGTCCTTAATATATATTTATAGGTGACAACGTTCATGGGCAGTTGGTTATCACTTAACATCTGGTGAATCACCAGCCATTTGAATATAGTAAGAAATATTACAACTTTAGAAATGTACATTAAATGGTCAAATCGACTATTTTCATCAATGCGATGATGGTGGCCTATTCGTCTGGGAAGGAGCAATTGGAGAGAAGAGTGTTGAAAATGTCGCCCGTAAGCAGATAAGCGGCCCCGGAAGGGTTTTTAAGACTTTATTACTAATTTTATCTGGGCCTGGAGCGGACTTTGGTTTAAGTTTTTTAATAATGTCTTAGACCTCTTCGGGGGTCACTGAGTACCTGTGGTAACGTAACCGTTACACGATCCACCTCCGTTGAGGTGGGCTATGCCTTTGCCATTTGCTGAGTCATCTCGGGCTCTTCTTTTACTTTTTCAACCTCGTCATTTATGAACCGATTTTGATGATTCTTTTTTGTTGGAAAAGAGATATCCCAAGGGTGGTACAATGATAAGGAAACCCAGATCTGATGATGAAATCCCAGAGAGCAATCCTCAAATCCTCAAAAATCCTCAGATTTATCAAATATATTTTGTCCTAAATTTACACAATATTAAATGAATAATGAAAATATTGTTTATTTTACTATTTTCTGTGGTTCATTCAATTATTTTTATTTATCGTTCTGAATTTGAATTTCTCCCCGTTTTCCCTCAAAATATTGTTTCACAACGAAACACTTGGAATGAAAGCGCAAAAGCTATCCAACTTTCTTATTATATGGTAAGACATACTTTAATTTAAGAAGTCAATTAACACTTCCCCGTCTTTAAAATCAAACGCTTTTTTAATTGGTGGTATAAAAACTTACTTTCGATAACTAGATAAAGCAAATAAAAGAGGCGAAATAATTTAAATTAATTAATTATATCTATCTCAGATTATATTTCATCACGGAAATTGATTTTAGCATAGTGTCTGTACTTCATGTTTACATGATGAGGGAAATAAAAAACTTGTAGACAAAGTGTCAAATAATTTGAGCCATAGTTTTAAGATGATTTAGCCCGTTCCTCGTAATCTCTGACAGAGATTAGAACCGGCACGATTTGTGAAGCTATTTGTACTGTCCGCTCAGCAATTACGAATTAATAACAAATGTATAGCAGTGGTAGAGGATTTGTAATATTTTTCGCCATCGAAATGTTATCTTATGTCGAACAGAAGTAGTTCGTCAATAGGTCCGATTATAAATTCAACAGCGTTTTCCCATAAACAATTTTTTAAACCAGAGATAACCTTCATAATATACCAAAAACAACTAAATCGTCCTGCCTTGAACTTCAAATAAACGCAGTAGCAGTATCAATGTTATGCTCTAAACCGAATCATTGATTATATCAATAAACCGTCAATTATACTCCTGCTATAAAGGTGACTATTTTAACAGTGTACGATCAACACCGGCTGGTCGGGGAGTCCTGCTACCGTCTGATGACAAAGAGCGGGAATTTCATATACATGCAGACCAGGGGTTTCCTCGACGTAGACAAGGATTCGCGGGCAGTCACAAGTTTCGTGTGCACGAACACAGTCGTTGAAGAGAGCGTGGGCAAGCGTCTGATCAAACTAATGAAAAAAAAATTCACGCTCCTCGTGAATAACGGCGTGGACTCAATTCTAGACGAAGACGAAGAATCCAGAGAGGTGAGTAATTAATATTCCTTTTTATGTATCCCTTATCAGAAATAAATTATGATTAACATATTTTGTAAAATTTGACTCGAACGTCAATTGAAATGAAATTTAAAAAAGGTAGGGAAATAGAAGGGTCTCTTTCATTCTTCGATTTTGTACCAAAATTCCTCCAGTGGGCGTAGAGCCAGCGCTCACCCTCGGAGTATTTCATGTGGGCGTATTATTTCCGAAACTTCCCTAACCAATATGGCATAATGAGCTACTTTGTGTGCTCTTGTACATCACTATCCACAAATTAAGCGGACTTATTACAAACTGGGATATGGTGTCCAGATAACGTCCCCCACCAAGTCATACATACCACTCACTGTAATAAATATATAGTAACTAATAATAAATTCGAAAAGTGCAAATGAGTCTCTAGATATCTTCACAAATATATCTGTAAGCGCATTATGTGCTCTCGCCCAGTTTGAAATTGGCGCCAAAGTCGTGGCACTAGCAAATTGTGTGGACCAATGGCAGAACCTCTGTTCGTGATCGGCAGCTATGAACTTTTCGGGCGGTTAATATATGATATATGGCGTGTTATGGGCAACAGGTTCACTTGACAGACTTGAAAGTTGTGCCATGATCCGTGCATCGTTGCCAAGGTTTCGAAATGTCGGGACTTAAAAATCAAAATTAAAACGCGGTAAAGTCAATAAACTAGTTTTATTTAACATGTAAAATATCCACGTAATATCAAGAAATGAATAAGCCTATATCGAATGAAGAAATTAGGACTTTTGTTGTCCCCTTTCCAAAATAAGCATACTTCCCTTGGTTATTAATGAAAAATCGGACATTCAGATAATCGTTTTAAAATACAAATGCAGGTTGAAAAATTCGGGCTTCGATAATCTTTACGAGTAATGTTAAAATAAAGCATTTTATTTATCATACGCCGTTTATTTTAATTAATTTTTTGTTTCGACATAATTGCTGAATGCCAAACACTGTTCATCAATGCTTGTAAAACACAATTGTGAAAAATCATCTGTTAGTTACAGAATCAATATATTAGCAACTCAGACCGAAAACAATATGTTTAGGTAATACTTAATTAAATAAAATAATTATGAAACTTAGTGGGTAAACTATTAATGGAGAAATGAGAATAATATTTACATGTTATTTCCTATTATTTATTATTTTATCTTGCCTTTGACTATTCCCACATGTTTTTAAAATCTTACTTGGAACGTAGGTAAAAAGGTTAGGAACGTAGGTTCGTAAATCTATAAAATCGGAGCCTGGTAAATTTTCAAACAATCTGCACAGATTAATTTAAGTACTTACATAATAAAAGAAAAACCTTAACTTCATAAAAAATCTTTCAGGGAAAAATAGACTACTACCTACTTAAACATAGTACTAGCCAAAATATCTATATATAGTATTTCTAATAAGTAATATATTTAATTATTGGGTCTTAGTAAAATCGAATGTTTGCCTTTAAAATTCCGCTTACATCTACAGTGTGTTGAAAGCTTGATTTATGGAATACTACGCATACAAGTACATGAGCAATGACGTCACGCCAGGCTCTGTTCAAATTGCTCATTTGCGACTCTAAAGCGTCGGGGGAAGGTCGAGTTTCATACGAACTACCGCGGTGTACACTTTGCAAAGTGCAATACGTATAGATGCACTATATCTTAGTAGCTATCCGCCCAGCCCTGCCCCAGGAATTGAAATTTAGTCTCGTTGTAACACTCGGTTAGAAGACTTTTCCGCTCAGAATCTGTGGATATTTCTATTGTAATCTTTCAATATTTCCCCATCTAGTCCACTGATGTAGATATAGTGTTAGTTATGTTCTAAAATGCTAACAGCGACCCGTGTGAAAGAAATAGCGTAGTAAAATTAGAAGATAAAATATGCATACGACTGTTACGGAAATTTGAAGAGTTTAAATCGGGGTTTATTATTATTGTGTAATAATATAAGCATATAAGCCCTTGCTGCCTCGCGAGTGGTCCCTTAACCAGTGTTAAATTATTAGTTTGTTTTCCTTTATCGTACCCCTGTTAATTTATTTTGCTGCGCGAATGTTCCGACTTTGTTTTATTTAATTCTCATAAATAAATATGTTTTCGTTTATATTTTAAAGTGTCGTATTAATATGGGATGTGAAGAAAAAATATTCTGCATTTAGTAGTTTGGCAAGAGAATTCTAATTATTTCAGAACATATTTTACTTGTGTTTGTGTGTTCTTGGCACCATGCCGCGTGGATTAGGTTTATTAGATGATATGTAGTTTATGTAGATTTAATCTTGTAAATAATAGATCAATAAAGATAGTACATTTAATTTTCAAGTACTTTTTAAGTTTACTATGTCTTCTAATAGAGGGCACCAGTAGTAGTATTATAAGTGAAGTTTGAAATTAAAATTTGATAGCATTTAATTTTCTACATATGTATATTATATTCAATATATATAAATACTCTGGTAATTTCTTGTCTCGGAGGACAAGTGAGGAACCATGCACAAGCGCAGGAGCAAAAATATTTTTCCTCACTTACGAGGACTAATAAATTATTGCAGTAATAAATGTAATTTAAGTCTACAGTGCTAAATTAGTAAAGAAGTCAAGTAGCATCCTATACATGTCCCACTGCTGTCCAAAGACCTCCTCTATTCAGAGGGTATCAGGGCTTTGTTATTATTTCGAAAATATGCAGGTTTTCCTTCACCGTGGAGCAAGTGATAAGCACTAAAGTTGAAAACTTCATTGGTACCGGCACCGGGGATCTAACTATTATTATTCCATATTATATACTTCACATTAAAAAGAAAAGGTACCAATATCTAATGCTGTTAATATATAGCAAATGTCAACGCACTCATTTATATATCTAGTACCAACATTTGGAAATTATTTATTTAAACATTAAATATTACTAAGGGTAAGATACTTATTTGAATAATAACCTTTTATTATTTTTTATTTTGTGCAGCTCTCCGACGGCGTATCTCCTATACCCGTCGAAGATCCAAGGCAGTTGCAAAAAGTCATTTTACACTTAGTCACAGATTTGCCTTCGCCACAGCCGCCTGATTCTGAAGTCACAACATCTCCTTCTATAGAAGACTCATTTCCGCAACGCCTTGCTATTATTCCTCCACGGAAGGAGAGAATTGTTAGCGCGATTAAGAAAATATACGGCGTTATAAAAACATTCAATAAAGACCCGATTACAAGAATGGAGAAGAACAAGGACGTCTCAAATGATGCCCAAGAACAGAATGAAGAGAATTTACAACCTCCTGTAGAGCCAGCGAGTCCGTTATTGCAAGATCTGGTTCAACCTCAACAAAATCCACCTTCTGCCGATACACATTCAATTCCAAGGTCGATAACGATAGGAAATACAGTATCGTATCCAGCAACCAAAATATATACAAATAGTAGTGATCAGGACTCATCCATAGTCAATACACCACCAGTGGTTATAACTGAACCACGCGATGAACTTGAAATGTTTTCTCCTATGCCAAGGCGTTCATCAGGTCTGTGTTACTCTATTAATACAGCCTTAACTAATGGCTAGTTTTTCATTTGTTTAAAATAGTTGCATTTTTTAAATAATTGAATTTTTTTAAATATTTTTATATTTTTACGCTTAATTGCCGATTTAAAACTTTGCATTCCTCCAATGCCTTACGATTTTGTGCAAGCATATTATTGTACGTGTTTTCTATTATTATTATGTATAGTATATTCCATAATCTGAATGTTAGTTACACTAACAAAGAAAACTTTTCAGATGATCCCGAAACGCCATCGAGAAGCTTAAATGAATCAAATCAATCGGCTCCCACAGACAGGCGTTATATACGACCATCATGTTCGAGAACGATGTCTCAGACGCCAAGGGAGATTTACCCCGGCTCAAATACTAGTAGTGACGAACACTACGTTAACGCTGACGAATACCCTCAATTTGCACCAGTGAATCACTTTGCACCAATAAATTCTATTTATACGTCAACTGCACCAGCGGTCGCAAGATCCTCATGTGGCTATGTACCTCAAGGGAATTATTCCAATTATGGCTTAGTAATTCCACAACGTCTACCAGTACCTACCACTGTTTACAGAACTCCTAACTTTGAATCAATGTGTAACACCTTACAGCTTATGCCAAGATTCATATCTGATGAACAAAACAATAATTTTCCGTCTCCTGATCCGTTGCCTTCAATTAATCAGTTGCGTTATACTGGTGTGAGTTCCGTGGGTATCGATTCATCAATTTATGAATATCCGTATTTGCCGTACCAAAGACGTCAGTTTGAAGTTTCAAATGTTGCTGGATACGGTGCAAGCCGACCCAACTATCCCCAACCCGAATGCACTGTAGTTTCCGGAGAACTCAATTCAGGTTGTGGCACTAAGCGCCGCAATGAATCACTAATTTATGACGAGAGTGCAAACAAAAAAATGGCACAAAGCATTTCCGAATTATTATCTAATGAAGAACAACCCCTATCTACTGCGGGAGAGGCTGTGCCTCTGTCCACTGCTATAGAAGCTGTGCCCCTTGGCTCTGCTGAAGAGGCTACACCCCTGGTCACTGTAAGCGCGGTATTGGCAATGTCTTCTGCCGATGAAGCAGTACCTCTGATCAGTGCGGAAGAGCATGTGAACAGCGGTTTACTCAGTCAAGGCAATGAAGGTGAATCATCAGAAACTGTTAAGAATGGACAAATACCAGATGAAACTAAGGATCCAGGAAAGTTTGAAACAGAGGATTCAAGTCAGTATACTGTAATAATTATCAAGTTGTGATTTAATATAATATAGAACATATAAAAATTATTTTATTTATTTTAGGTTTTTATGACAGCTATCTCGAAAACGACAGGTCCTTGGACGTATCATTGGATGAAATTGCAGAATCTGAATTTCCAGATGAGCGAGTAAGTATAGTTATTACATACAGGAACACATATTCTTACATTTGATCTTTCACATACATATATAAATATGTACATGCACATACGCGCAAGCTGGCGCATAAGTGAGTAATAATATAGCAACTAAGCCATTGCGAAATAAATATGAAAAAGGATATACGCAATGCCTTTTAATAAACAAGCGACACTTATGCGATAAACCTACATCTTGATTCAATGTATTAATAATTTATGTACAGTTTCACTATTTGTGTTCCAATGCTTCTGCGAGACAAATATTGATGATGACATCATTATTTTATGTTTGAGCCAAAAATCTTACACAAAAATAATAATTATATCACAGGTCTTAGAAGTGATAGAAGAGCTAGACAAGAAAGACAAGAAGAACCTGAAGTAATGGCCATGGGACGAACCACAAGGTGGCACCACAATGGCAGAGATACTTGGACATTTCTTCAGTAGAATCTTTTAATATAAGAAATTTTTTTTTTATGTGAGAAGGCGTCATGCGAGTTAGTTGTTCACCTGATGCTATGAGAAAACCGCCACCCACAGATATTTGTAACAGCCATAGGATTGCAGATGCCTTGCCACCCTATAATAAAGTGAGCGCCGGCTACACACTCACCAGACGAAACGCGGAATTAGAGCAATTCCAATTCATGCCGTTGTCCTGTCGGTCGTGATATTTTCCTGGATGGACCTGCGTAGCCCTACAACAGTTTTTTTTTTTTTTATTTTTACAATTTTATTTCGATTTAACAATTCAAAATTCATATATACTTTATAATAAAATAATTATACATATTTTATCGCGTAATGTAAAATGTCGTTAACTCTGTAAATAACCCATTTGATTACGTATTAAAAGTTAAATCTTTGTTTGTATTACATATACCAAAGAAAGAATCCCTGAATTGGCATTGATTTCCTTTCGACCTATACTAGTCAACTACAAAATAAATGTTTCCATTTATGAGTAAATATCATTAAATGAACTTCTAAGTAGCTTTCTATATAAGCCCGTTGTGTACGATATTAAAGGTGTCATTTATTCATATCATATGAAATTTTGAAATTTCGAATCACACCCTTCTAATAAATTGGATTACTTTGCTCAATCTGGTTTAAGTTTACATTTTTAGGTTATATATTTACTGATGGTAAGACTGAGTATTTTTATTTGTTGCGTCATTTTAATATAAGTACTTTTAGATTTTGAGAATTATTTTTTTTAATTTAATACAGGTAAACTTCTTATTAAATCGCTGTTTACTCAAACTTCAGCCTAAGAGTTTTCTCTTCTTGCGTAAAGAGTTTCATAAGGAACTATAATTTGAAAATGAAGTATATATTAATTGAAAAACATACATGCTAATTATTTTTAAATTTGTTTTTAGATTTTTTTCGGATATATATTTTCGTAATTTTGTTTATGCTTTTTTTATGTGAGAAGGTGGCAAGCGGCTTGGTGGGTCACCTGATGTTATGAGATAACCGCCATCCACTGAAAACACCCGTATGGTTACAGATGCGTTGCCACCTTGTAATAAGGTGAACGCCGTCTACCTAACTCACCAGACTAAACGCAGAAGTTTAACACTTCCACCTCACCCTGGTCTTCTGTGAGCTCATGGTGCTTACCTGGACGAACCTGTCCAATCTGTTGCGTGGCTCTACCACAGAATGACAACATAAAACAAGTGTTATTTCTTATCTGTGTCATTAATATGTATTTAAATCTTAGCCGTATATAGTTTTAAGTTCTAATATTGTTAAGAATTGTATGTACACGCGTTAGAAGTTATACTTCTTTGGCAAAACAAGATAAAAATCGTTACAAAAATTTTATTTTTCGCCTTACTCTATGTTTATAGAAAAAACGACACAATAGAAAAAGTATTTAATATACTGAAAGTTTTATTTTATTTATTTACGCATTATCGAGTTAAATAACGTTTATTTAAATATTATAAAATAAATATCGTGAATACAGTTGTCAGTTCTCACGCAAACATAGGTACGTAGTCTAAGCAAATGTCAAATGTCTAGCTAACTTCAGGGTGTCGGTCTTTTTCGTGACGGTATGCGCACGCATCGTAAAAATTTACTCTCATCATTTTTCTCTAAAGCGCCAAAAGAAGTATAACTTCAAAAATTATGTTTTAAAAATGTATATCTGTAATAAATGTTATGGAAAATGTTTTTGTTTTTTTAAACCAAACTACACTGCTTTAGAATCTACTTCAATATCATCATTTCAGCCTGTTTGAATCCACTGCTGAACATAGGCCTCCCCACAGACTGCCACGAAACACGATCCTGAGACACCGTCATCCATCGACTTCACGGCAGACTTGCACAAGTCGTTACTCCATGCACTTATTATTAACACAAATTTCAATAAGCTAATTAAAATGTTAGCTTATAGGTTAGCATAATAAGCATAATAAGTTTTGTATTCACTTGCGTAGCGTACATTTCCAAAGCTACTTTAAGGTATTAAAAACCCTCTGTAGTCACTGCATGAAATATATACCTATTTCAAGTAGGAAGTAAGTAAAGTAACAGACTTTTTTACGTGAATAAGTGACAAACGAGCGGGCGGTTTACCTCAATCACCAGACGAAACGCACAAATATAACACTTTCAATTCACTCCGGTCTTCTGTGGGGCCGTGATACTTACCCGGACGGACCTATCCATTTTTCCAAGCGGGTCGAAGGGAAAAACCCTTATGAACCAAAATGTGTGCAAATAACCCATTCCTTGCAAGCATATCCTGCATGGATAAATCTCTTGTTTTTTACAGGCAATTTTTACATTTCAAGAAATAATATTATAATGGATGGTACGATGGTGATATTTACAACAGTGTTAATTTAATACAAATCTCAAAACTTCACTTTACTTTGAGGTTCATAACTGTTTAAAATAAACCAAAATTGAATAAATTGCGACTCAAAGTTATTCTAAAAGATGTAACTTATTCAAGAATAAATTTATATTAAACAACACAAAAAAGGTATAAAAATACCTGAAAATAAACAATAAAAAAGGCAGCTATATTGTATTTGTAACAATAATATTTTAAAAACTGAGGAGTTTCAAAACAGCTTTTGATAAAACAGTTTTTTTCTTTCTAGGTAATTTTATAAATTCTGATATGAATGGATTAGAGATTAAAAGAAGCCTATTCAAAAGTTCCCTATTAGTTACAGTCCTAGAAAACTTTAAAATATTCAGACTTCTTTATACTAGGAAGTTTCTCGCTTTATTATTTATTTATTCTATTTCTCGCTTCCGCCGCTTCTTCAGAAATTTGTCCAATTGGTAAAAGTGCATGTTCTATGATAGCAGACCCATGTACTAATACCTTGTGGACAGAAGCTGGTAGGTAAAACCATGCATATGCTTGGACAATTAGCCTGGCAGTTTCCATTGCAAATTCCCCAAACTTAATAGAGTTTACTTTGTAGCCAGAATTTATAACTTGCAATATTGTGGCTCAATGTTTTATTAAGCTTTTATCAATTCCTGTAATTTCAGTAGAAATGTCAAGATTCTCAAAGAACTTTCTAGCCGTATCATTGCCATCATTTGAAGTCCCACTTCCATCTGGTTTAGTTTTGTCTACTACCAAACCCATTTTTATCCTAAATTGGGACTGGATGGCTTTTTTGCTTTCCGCTACACTATCTTTATCAGCTTGTCTAACTTGCTACTTTTTTATATTAAGCCTATAAGAAACATGCAGAAAAAAAAGCGCTTCGCGTATCTCTTGAAATACGAGCTCGGCCCGTTCAGTGATGTTCAACTTTTTTTTTTCAACTTTCAAATTTCGAAGACACCTGCATGGGAATATATACTTCCGATTTAAACCTGCAATAAAAACAACATTTTTAGTAAATAAATGCAAAACGAAACACATTCAGTGTTAATTCGTGTGCGTAGCAAAGTGCTACAAAGAGATTATTTTCAGGTAACACCCATATTGCTCTAAAAGGGGGAAAAACGGGGAACGAATTCAAGTGAAATCATAAAGAATGAGCTCTCACCTAACGTATATAGAAACGTTTGTTACGGAAATATGGTGGAATATAAACTAAAACTCGACATGTATGAAATTAAAAATTAAAATGCTTACATAAAAAAGGTATATCACGTAGCAGTCAAATTGCATCAAAACAAACAATATTAAAATTGTAAATAAAATTAAAAAAATATGTACATATCATGTCCTTGGAAATCCATTTTGAAAATAAATCAAATATATAACAGGTATCTGGGAATCGACAAACGAAATCACTTAACAATTGCGTGAGTCACTAGTAACGTTTTGGATCACTGTTATTATTCACACTTTCGATGACGAAATGGTAATGAAAGTAATTATCTAAGTGCATTTCATTTATACCATTGTTAAGTTCAGATATTGTAGTTATTATAATGATTACTACTTTCATTGAATCGCAGAGTGACCTTGGGTGATTTTTGTCGTACTAGGGAACCACAGTGCAACGTCTTGAAATCTTTTGATTGATCAAATAACTCGTTAATGCCTAATAAATAAGACCCGAAACATGCCAAGTGTTTATTTAGGATTAAATGTCTTTTGTTGCTGCAAGCGCGCCTACCCAGTCATTTCTTTTGTGCTAATTATTGTCATGTCCTATTGCAGGTAAAAGTTTACGCAAATAGTATCGAGCCACGATAGCTGTGTCCGGGCGCTCGGCTTTAGTTTAATTTACTCGAGCAACCCGAGTTCGATCCCCGGTGCCGGCATTAATGAAATAGTTAATTTTAGGTGACTGACTTATCGCATGCTCAGCATAAATCACCAGAAATCTGCATATTTTCGAAGTAATAACGACCCTCGCATGGTGGACCCTCAGTACAGAACAGGCCTTTGCCCAGCAGTGGGCAACTAGGCTGTTACTCTACTTTTTTAACACCGACAAAATTTTTCCCTTGACTATGCCGTCACTAAATACTTACTGAACACTCATGCTTCTGTATTCATCGTATTTTTGTATGCCATTAAATTTTAAAATGTTGATTACTGAATTTTATTAATATGTAACATTAATATGTTCTTTTTTTCATAATTTCGCTTAATTGCGATTTACCCGGAATAAAGATCTTTACACTTTGTGTACGTATACGTGGTAGCGAATACTAGTGAATATATAAATCAGAGCGAAATTAATTAAATGTTGTTCCGAGAAATCAGTTTACAGAGAATATTCGAGTATCACCGTTAACATTTAAACTCGTCGAAATTAATTCCATGAAATGTTTGTTATTCAACGTTTATGAATTTCTGTATCTACCCAAATGAAAAGAGTTTTCAGTAATATTGATTTTATCAAATATTATCTGCTTCACGGAAAT